GACTAAAGCAGGTTTCTGGGGTTTTGTTTAGCTTCTATATTTGTTACATAGTTCTTAGAGTTGCAGCTCAGAGGCCTGCAGCGGCAGGCTGGGAATGTTGGAGTCCTCTGTCACTGAAGCAAGCAAGCCTCATGTTCACTTTAAGCTGCCTGGCTTCCGGCTGCCATCTTGGCTGGCAGTTAATTTGCATATTGCCCTGATTAGCCAATGGGAAGGGTAGCGGTGGTACCCTAATTAGCATGTTTCTCTTTTATTAGATAGGATATCCTGGTGCATGGCAAGAAGAGTATTGTTCTAACAAAATGAGGATAGCACAATGATTTTCCAATAGATGGCTGAACACATCTTGAGGAGAAACACATTTTTCTGATTTGCATAAAAATGGTAGTTGGGCTCAGTTAGTTGGACCTGCGGCCTGCCTAGTTTCCACTGTGACAACCAGCTGTTTGCTTGTCTGCCTCCCTGTCTGCCATGTGCCTGGGGCCCACCTTAAAGCCTTAATTGCACAAAATGTCTTTGGTGTCTGGTGCCCAAGACTTACAATAACCAGCTGGACCAGGGTTGCCAAAGAGTTATAATAACCAGCTCACCCAGGATGGGCTGCTTACCTTTTCAGTTTTCTTCTCATCTGGTTTGCATCCCACATTGGTGGGGCTGGATGTAGACAGGCCACTGATGGTCCCCACTCCGGCCTCCCCGTTGAGGTTGGCAGCAGTGACATTGGGAGGTGTAACAGCTGATGCCGCTGACGTGAGAGGGATGGCTGGCCAGGGGCACTGGGCACCAGTGATGGTCTGCACTGGGGGCTGGTGGAGGTGCTGCAGGGACACCATGGAGTGGGGCCTGAGGCTGGCAGTGGGCAGGCGGGACGGGGAGTTCTGGGTGCACAGGGGTGACACCATGGTGGTTGGTTGGTCCTGAGCCTGAGCAGAGGAGAGGGCAGCTGGAGCACAGGGTGGGAGAAACAGTGAGTAGAAAGTTTAGTTTGAAACCTGCCATGCAATTGCAATAGACTCTTTCCTGAGAACAATCTGCCCAGTCTCTGTACAACTGAGACTATGAACCAGGAGGTTATGGTTTGATTCCCGGATCAGGGCACATGCCCAGGTTGTGGGCTTGATCCCCAGTAGGGGACATGCAGGAGGCAGCCAATCAATGATTCTCACTCATCATTGATGTTTCTCTCTCTCTCTCCCTCTCCCTTCCTCTCTGAAATCAATAAAAAAATATATATATTTTAAAAAGATCTAGGACTCTAAAGAAAAATAGAGTTCCTTCCAAACACAGAGCCATGTTAAAATGAATCCTACTACAGCTTGCGTTAGTAATTTTGAAGAACCCTTTCCTTACTAATTACAGAAACAAATAGGGGAGAGAATGGGCCACACCATAGGGACAGAGTTCTAGGCAGGTGGGTCTGGCCTAAAAAGAGACTTCGTGGGTGGTAGCCGACATCACTTCACACCAAGTGTCCCTCTAATGCCGCACTGCTCAGTTCCGGTGTGTTGGCCTTGTAAACCAGCGAAGAGGGATGCCTCACTGTCGCAGTGTTCCAGTGCCAGGCTTTGTGGCATGCATGGCCTCAGCAACATGGAAATATACAAGCAACGAAGCCATGTTCTCAGCCCCCACCTTGGACAAAGTGCACACTCAGACACCTGCCCGGCTCCCCGCACAAGCAATCCCTTCCTCTGACAGTGTGCTAGCAGCCATCCTCTCTTTCCAGGAGGTGAGATAGAGGAAGGCTTATTCATGGCTTTAAAAAACTACTCAGAATTTGGGATGGCTTTGGATCCTTCCTCAACGTGGCTCCTCCTTTCAAAGAAAGACAGGGTTAGGCAATGATGCAGATTGATGAAGCCACTGCGGTCACTTAATCTCCCTGAAGTAATCAGTCATTTATCTGCTTCTCCCCTGCTGCCCAGCTCAGCAGCCTGTAACGGGAGGTGACAGCTCAGCCAGGGAAGGGCAATGGCACTTGGGTCCTGAAAACCCTGTAGGGTGGCTTCCGGTTCTTCTGCTGAGCGCTGTCATAGCTCGCCTCCACCTCTGGCTAGCTTCTACCTGACTGCACATCTCCTTACTAAAACACTACAAAATAAGGACTGTATCAGCAGATAAAATCCTTTGTATGGCTTTCCAGTGTCACAAATTTCTAACTTCAACTGAGTCTAGTCTAGAGTTTATGTCACCATGGAGTTCTGTAATTAAATAAATATATTTTCTCTTTCCAAAATTTCAAGTTGCTTCTTTTTGTATCAAACAATTTCTGATTCATAGCTATCCATCTCTTTTTTCTTCACCACCCTGTCTTCTCCTTTTTTAGAGGGTGGATGCTATTTCTTCTATTTCCTGTTAGAGGATCTTAAATATACTGACATCAGTGACTTCTTTAGATTTCTCTTTTATTTCCCTCTCATTTCTTAAGTTTACTGGCTATCCTTTATGCATTAGCTGTCCCAGCCCTGAGATTTTTAGTTCATCTGAGCAGGGGCGTGTCTTATTGCTGTTGTTTCTGCCCTGGTTTACTTCTCTGGGTCTGCAGTCTTGTCGCTCTTCTACATGGACCTCTAGGGCCTCCTCTCAGAACCAGTGTAACAGGATCACTTGATTTCTGTTCTCCCAGGGATGGTGAAGACCTAGTCCTCAGGCCAGAGCCACACTCAGCTCTGTGCTCAGGTGGGACTCTCTTCTCTCCACGCCTTCCGCAGTGCTCAGTATTGCACATGCCCCCAGGAGAGGTTGGGTCTGGTCCCCTGATACTTGCCTCGAGCTCCTGCCCATACGCTCTTGCAGGTGTTGAAAGTCAGCTCACAGCACCTGTTTTCCACCCTGGAGCCTGTAGGCTAGCACTTGAATCCCACCTGCTGTTGTGTGTTCCACTTTGTTTACATCCATAGAGTTGACTTTTAAAAAGTTTTAAAAACAAACAAGCAAACTCTCTGTGTTTAGAACAGAGAAAGTAGGGGAGTTCTACATAAACTCATTCTTCCATACTATCCAGGGGTCATCCCGCCATTTCTCATTCCACAGAAATATGGTGTCTTACTCGATCAATCCATCACATATTATCTGGAAAACCCCAGTTATGGCTTCATCTATTTTTAGAAAAAGAATCCATTGATCTAGTTGTTTGCCTTTACAACAATATCACACTGTCTTGATTATTATAGTTTTATAATGTCTTGAAATCAGTGTTAGCCTTTCAAATTTGTTGCTCTTTTCAAGGCTGCCCTTTACTCTTCTAGGCCCTTTGCATGCTTATGTGAATTTGAGATTCAGACTGTCAATTTCTATTAAAAAGTTGGGTGGGGTTTTGATTGGTATTCGATTGAATCTATAGGCCAATTTTGGGAAAATAAACACTTTAATATATTAAGTCTTCTCACTCGCGAATATTCTTAGTCATCTCTCTACTTATTTAGTTATTCTTCAATTTCTCTTAGCAATACTTTGTAGTTTTCAGTGTATAGTTCTTCATCTTTGATCACATTTGTCCCTAAGTATATTATATTTTTGATGCTATAAAATTGCTATTGTTATTTTTTAAATGTTAATTTCAACTATTCACTACTAGTATGTAAAAATACAATTGATTTTTGTGTATTAATTTGTGTCCTGCACCTTGCTTAACTCATCTGTTACCAAAAAAAAGAAAAACAAAGAGCTGTGTGTGTGTGTGTGTGTGTGTGTGTGTGTTCCTTAGGGTTCTCTCTATATGATAATGTACCCTGCAAACTGAGATAGTTTAGCTCCCTCCTTTCCAATCTGTATGCCATTTACTTCTTTCTCATTACTAACCTCTTGGGTTAGAAGTTATAATACAATATTGAATAGAAATGTCCAGAGTGGGCATCCTTGTCTCGATCCTGCTCTCAGGGACAAGTTCTCAGTCTTTCACAACAAGTTAAATGCTAGCTGTGGGCTTTCATAGATGCCCTTTATCAAGTTGAAGAAGTTCACTTCTGTTTTCTCATTTTATGAGAGTTTTTATTAGGAATGGATGATAAATTTGGTCAAATCTTCCCCCACCCCACATCTATTCGACTGACCATGTTATTTTTCTCTTTTAGTTTATTAATAAGTGAATTATATCAATTAAACGTTAATGAAACCTTGTATTCCTGGGATAAACCCTACTTGGTCATGTTGTATTAGTATCCTTTTTATTTATTGCTGTATTTTACTTGTTAAAATTGTTTAGAATTTATTTATGATTATGAGTAATATTGGTCTAGCAGTGGTCGGCAAACTGTGACTCGTGAGCCACATGCGGCTCTTTGGCCCCTTGAGTGTGGCTCTTCCACAAAATACGGACTTCTGCGCATGGGCCATGAAGTTTCAATCGCGCTGTACATGCGTGCCTGCACGTGGTATTTTGTGGAAGAGCCACACTCAAGGGGCCAAAGAGCCGCATGTGGCTTGCAAGCCGCAGTTTGCAGACCACTGGTCTATAGTTTTATTTTAATGTTTTTGTCTGCTTTTAGTATGAGGGTAATGCTAGCCTTACAGATAGAGTTAGGAAATATTTTCTTTTTCTTTTTTTCTTCAATTTTCTGGAAGAGTTCCCAAAGAATTGTTAAAATTTCTTCCTTGACCATTAGGTATATTTCACCAATAAAGCCACTTAGGCCTGAAGATTTCTTTATGGGAGGTTTTTAACTAATTCAATTTCTGTAATAAGGATTGGTCTATAAGATTATTAACTTCTTTAAGTTTATTAATTTCTGTATTTAAAGGAATTTATTTATTTGTCTAATTTGTTGAGTGTATTGGCAGAAAGATATTTTTCTTTGTTTTTTATTCTAGTTTCTTAAAGTGAAACAGGTAATTGATTTAAGATTTTTTTTTCTTTTTCTAATATAGATGTTTAGTGATATAAATTTCCAAATTTTGATATGGTGTGTTTTTATTTCCATTCACTTCAAAATGCTATTACTACTTTGATTTCCTTTCGATCTCTGGGTAATTTTGAAGTATGCCATTTAGTTTTCAAATATTTAGAGATATCTTTGTGTTATTAATTTCTAATTAAACTTTATTGTAGTCAGAAAATATAGTTTGAGTGACTTTAAATTTTTAAAATATGAGGTTTAAATATTATGGCCCAGAATATGGTCTATCTGGGAAATGTGTGCACCTGAAGAAGTGTGTATTTTGCTGTTTGGTGGAGTATTCCGTAAATGTCAATTTAGTCAAGCTGGTTATGTGTTGTTCTAATGTTCTTACCAATAATATGCTTGTATCCATTATTGAAAGAAGGATTGTAACCTCTGACTGCAGTTGCAGGTTTATCTGTTTATATCTCCCTACAGCTCTATCAGTAATTGCTTATTTATTTGAGGCTCTGTTATTTGAAGCATAAATATTTAGTCCCTTTGATGAACCAACTCTTTTACCATTGTAAAATTGACTTTTTTTTTAGTAATAACATTCTCTGTTCTGAATTCTACTCGGTTTTATATTAATATGACCAAACCACATTTCTTTTGATTAGTATCAGCATGGTAGTCAAACCTCATTGTTCACAGATTCTGTATTTGCAAATTCAGCTACTAGCTAAGATTGATTTGCAACCTCTGGTGCTTTTGCAGTCACTCTCAGACATGCACAGATTAGCAAATAATACAAGTCACCCACGCACTTGTTTCCAGCAGAGGTGCACCAAGGTGATGCTCTTCCTTCTCATTTCAGCTCATACAGAGATGCCCAGGGGCAGAGAGACAGGAGGGGCACAGGCAGTGCAGCACAAGAAGCTCCAGCTCTGGGGAGGTCGGATGGGTTGAATCTTGACCCTGTCACCTATTAGTGGGGTGGCCTCAGGCAAGTGACTTAATACTTCCAAACCACATTTTCTCTTTTGTAAGATAAAGAAAATAGAACATTTAAGATTAAAATCTACGTGAGCTACACACACATATTTCACTTAGGTGAAATAGTTGA